AGAAGGCTTAAGGCAAGAAGTAGGACCCGTGTAAATATCGGATCAGCTTTCCAGCGCTGGAGAGAACTCGAGGAGCGGAAGGCCTGCGATCGGATGCCGAGGTTGCTTTGTTTCTTCTCGATAGGTGAGTAACACCGTGTCTGCGCCGTAACAGCTAAAGTCTGTCTAGTACACTGGACGCGACAAACGACCATTGAAAAACATTTGAAATTTGTGTCAATGAATAGAGAATAGAACGCTGCAGCAGTTTTCTGTCGGGGATTTGTCATGTCGTGCCTTGCCGCATCCACCATAGATAGCATCACTGATTATAATGGGTTCTATAGTATTTTGTGTAACATTGGTTTTGCTTTGTTTCACAGAACTAATCGTTGCCTGGGTTGCGTACGTATGTGTGGGGCGGAGCTATCAAAATAGGGGCGAGACCCTTTTGGGGTAGGGGCGTGTTTGTTTTGGTGATTTCAAATGTCAACACTGGCTACCAGAAATCAATTACCACACCTTTAACTGTCATCCCCATTTTTGAAAATTCACGAGAAAGCGCACTATCCAAACTTAAATGATTATAATTCATGAACGCTTTTGAATACAGACCTAAGGTTGGTCTCTTTTAAAGAAGGCAATTAGCAGATTATTACAGAAGTGAAATTATTTAATAAAATGAAAGTATTAAAAAGTTATAGAAGTTTAAATTTACTGTAAAGAAAATGTATTGTACTATTTTTCTTTTATTTTATATAAAATAAATATAAAAAAATAGTTAAAAATACAAAATTGCTATAAAATTAAAGCCATATGTCTACATAAGTGTTGTTCCAAATTTGAAGTTGATATAAAAAAAATTGAGGTTCATGTGCAATTTTGTTTAGGCGTTATACCAAAAAGAGCCACCAGGTGCCACCCAAACAACATTGAATTTTTTTTTATGCATTTCTGTCACAAATCTATCAATTTCTCTCTCAATATTAGGTCTATCACAAAATATGGAATCTTGAGACTCAGACCTTTCCAACGATATGTATTTAGTCAAGATTATAAAAAGTTTTGATTCTAAAAGACCCCCGCAAAGGGGCAGGAGACCCTAAAATATTTTAAAATACCATTTCTATGGTAACGCAATGTCCGATTTCAACATGGTTTTCACAGGATAAATTTTGAGATTTTAAGATTTCAAATGGTATATAACTTATGATGATTAATAAAACATGAGATAGGGAAAAAGGCAACGAAATAAAGACTTTTTGTGACAAAGGTCAGAACTCCTGTTATGGTGTAGATTTCTCATAGACTCTTGGTGCACTCTTGTCATAAATTAATCTATTACTTAGGGCTGCACAATTAATCAAATTTCTAATCTCAATTACAATTATGGATGCTACAATTACATAATCGTTCAAAGTCCACTTATGTTATTCTGCACGCTTAAGATATGTTTTTTTCTTTTGACATGTTATCTTAAGGGTTTTTCCATTGTTTTAGTTTAAGTTTTAGTATAACATTATAATACCATTCATATTTTTACTTTTTTTATAATTTAAAGAAGAAACCAATCCGATGCATATTTGACATTTGAGGTTTAATATAGAAAAGCACTAAAGGTTTTTCAGTTAGAGTGTTTTCAGCTTGTTTATTTTCATATAAAAATACGGCATGCAGTTGCATCAAACAATGGTATAAACATTCAATGTAAATTGTGATAATCGTAATTAATAATCGCAATTACAATTTCAAGGGAATAATCGACAATTATGATTTTCGTCATAATCGTGCAGCCCTACTATTACTGTTCCTACATAATTTGTAACAAAATAAAATGGTAAAATATCTATTTAGGAGTCTTAGATCTTTCCAATGATATATAGTTTGTCATGATTATATTAGGATTTAATTGTACTATAGTGAAGTAAACTTAGGCGTCCCGTATATGGGACGGTGACAGTTAAGGGGTTAAACCAGAAGTTAATGTGGAGATTATAGCATCATTAAGATTAGGCTTAGTACGTTGGTGTTACAGTAGGTAGTTGTTGTGGTGGAATTTATAGTGAAGCAGCCATTTCCAAATGTATTTGCCAGTGTGATGTCACAGATCCCAAAACATCCAAATGAGCCATTTTTGTATGGTTACCTAAAAGCAAAGGGGAACGTTTTAGGCTATAAAACGTAGAATATTTCAATGGTTCAAAGACCTCTCATATGTCAAAAGATCAAGGAAAATTAGATTTCTCATGACCCATTTAAATTGAATGGGACCTTGTGGAAAAAAATGCAGGATGTGCTGCAAGCAGCTTTTCAGACAGAATGCACATCTGCAACATGACTCGCTTTCCATTTATAGAACCGTTTTCTGAAGCCCCTCATCTCAGAAAACACAAATTGTAGGTTATTCTTGAAAAATTACAGTGGACAGGGGTGGCATCCATCTTGCATCTTCGCCAAGTCAATTTTTTTTTTTTCAAGATATATAAGTTTAATACAAATGTGCTTCTGGCTTTTATATTATGATGCATTATTGTACAGTTTGAATCATACTCTTTGTGTCTTCAAAATCTCTTTAGCAAAGTCAGTTGGTAAAGTTTTCCTGTAACTCAAATATTAGAACATGGTGCCACCAACACCAAGGTAATGGGTTCGATTCCCAGGGAAAGCAAGAACTGATTAAATGTAAATGTGTACTTTGAATGTATTCTGGTGTATGAATTTAAGTGAATTGAAGTTATTTTGTTATCACTGAAGCCCTCTGCTACATACAAAAAGTGGTGGCAGTTGATTGCATAGTGTCCAACATTCCACATTTTTTGGTTAAATAAGTGCATCATCTGAGTATTGGAGGTACCTTTTTTGTTGTAATTTTCAGTGTGGACACACTACTACAAAATGGCATGCAATAGTGCATATGTACACAAAGTTGGACGCACCTTATATCTTAATAAAGTATATTAAGGATTTAAAGATAATGGCACCATACGATTTTTTTTTTTTGAAAACGTAAAATCTGGATGGTGTTTTTCATAGAGACAGGTCTAGTTCAGTCAATAAGATAAAGCTGTAAAATCATCCTACGCTGCTTGAAAAGCCGTGTGTCATGTCTAGACTTTGTCATCAAGAGGTCCTGTCCAGGCAGTGAGGACTGGAGAAAAAGTTTTGTGTACTGGAAAGTTCTGACAGTATTCTGGATCTGTGAATTTCCAACCCAAACGCCGACTAATCATGAATCATTAGACCTGACATCTCAGTTAACTTGCCTTTTTTTTTTTTACATAATCTAACTAAAATAATATTAGACTCATTTAAATTTTCATTTCATTTTAAAGGGGTCATATGATGCGATTTCAATTTTTCCTTTCTCTTTAGAGTGTTACAAGCTCTTGGTGCATAAAGAAGATCTGTAAAGTTGCAAAGACTAAAGTCTCAAATCCAAAGAACACATTTCATTACACCAAATACACAAAATAATGTTCTTTTTAGCAACATCATATGACCCCTTTAAATTTTCAACTGACTGCTCTGTTAAAATTCAACATTTATGATCCACCAATCTGCCAAGTGATTCTTTTCTGAGAAAGGTTTATTTCATAGGTCCAACATTCATAGATCCAGCTGAAGAGAACCAACAATTATATGAGCATATTTGAAGACATTGTAATCTTGTTTAGGGATCTGTGCCTTTGTGCATACGGACATCTGACTGCTAAGTAGTGACTGTGTTTTTCAGCAATAGTGTGCACCCTTAATTTACAGAGAAAAAGTCGGGAAAAAATCTGTAGATGGAAAAATCTCAATACAAGTTATTTGTGCATTTTTCTTTTTTTCTTCTTGCTACTTTGCACTTTTTGTTAAAAAATTTTTATTTACTTTTTATTCCGGTTTTTTAAGGTATCTAGTATTTTGATACCTAATTTTAATGATCTAAATATTCTTAAAAATTAAAAGTTTGTTGTCATTTGGAAGTGTGTAGGCCTTCTTGCATTATTATGCTGTTACATAAAAAATGGCAATAATATCGCTTATCGCAATTATTTCTGGGGCAATATATCGCACAACAAAAAGTTGTTATCGTGACAGGCCTAATTATAATCAAGACATATAATATACTGTAGACATTTGAGAGAGGAACATGAGCATATACAGACTGATAAACAGATTACATGAACAGAAGACGTCTCACTCTCATATCTGCATATAAAGAGCACACAAGATTTGTTTGGACAAAATTACCATAAAAATGTCATTCATCATGACAGTCATTCTGTACAAATTATATCAAATTTATTAAAAAAAAAACCTTGCACAGCAATTGATTCTTGCCACTGGTGCCACAATGAAGTTTCAGCAATGAATGTTGAGACATTTATCAAGAAGAGAATCCACATACTAATCTATCAGATTTAAAAAATATATATATTTATAAAAATGTATTATTATTATTTATGAGGTGGTTCTGTGTATTTATAATATTTATTATATATTGTTATATATATCATTGAAATTTCAACTTAAAAAGCTTAACATATCATTGTGGACTCATTGTGGTTTGGCTATAAAATATCACCAGTTTTGTCGTCTTCTACAAAATACAGTAGGGGAGAGTGGAGACGGTTGCAACACTTTCCGCATTTGCTTTAGTTTCTCAGAGACTGTTTGCATTAGAAACCCAGAATTTTAATACAATAAAGCCACATCAGTCAGCTACTCACCCGTATTGCTGTAACACGTGCACATGATTATATACAATTTATACTTGAATAGACAAAGTCAAATGTTGCAACTAATCCCACAACAGGGGGCGGTTGCAATAGTTGCAAGCTTTTACATCAATGTTGTGGTAAGGGACAGCATGTTGGGACGGTTGCAACAATGTGATGCAACTGTCCCCACACTGACAGCCGTGACATAACTTGGTATATTAGCTTGACACAATATCTTTGACACATGCTAGCTATGTCTATTAGAAGCTAAGAAAACACAGATATAAATCATATGTTTTTACAATGCTTCACGCAAACAACTTAGACAGTATGACAAAAAAATTTGATGATTAAAAAAAAAATACTTTTTTTACCATGAAAATGATTATTTGAAGAAGGAATGGTCACATGTGCCTGATTGCATCCAGGAAGGATGAGGGGCTGATTGAGCATGTGCAGTATGAATATCATCACTGTAGCTCATTCCTGATTGAAGAAAAAAGCCATGTTGCAACCGTCCCCACTCTCCCCAACTGCACGTTTTCATATTTGCAATGAACAAAATCATTCTCCGCTTCAAACCTGCTTCAAAGAGAGTGTGCTGTTATGAAATGCCTTTCATATAAAATCTCTTAGGCAGACTTGACCAAGATTGCAAAAGCTCAAGGTTAGATTCCTCTCAGCTTGCAAAAGAGGTCCTTGTTTTGTAGAAGGATGCACTGTTAGACATCCCTTTGGCCACGACAGCACATGACTGATATGATAAAACCAATGTCTTCATGTTTCACATTTCGAATAGATGATGACATCACTGCATGATGACGTCAGGCTCAATGTTGAAGAGCAGGTCGTCGTTGCCTCTGCGCACCTCCAGCAGCAGAGTCGTGTCTTGGTTGAGCGCTTCCTTCAGGTCGCTGGTGCTCATCAGGGGCTCTCCATTTAACTTAACGATGATGTCACCATCTCTGATGCCCCCTCTGAAACACATTTGGAGAAATTATACACTACAATTGTCAGTTGTGTACTTGAATTTGTAAGGGACAACATATAGAGCTAATTGTAAAATAAATCCTGACAGGTGATCAGGACACTGACACAGTGGAGCAAAATAAATAAATATGTAGATAAGAAATATTAATTTGAGTTACATTTTTTACTGTTTATTATCTTACAGCCTCTGCTTAGACAAAAGTAGTACATTACATGTACGAAAAGCTACGGGAATTCTTTTTGTGCGCAAAGAAAACAAAAATAACTACTTTATTCAATATTTTCTTCTCTTCTGTATTCTCGTAGCTTCATAAAATTATGATTGGACCACTGATGTCACATGAACTATTTTACCGATGTCCTTACTACCTTTCTGGGCCTTGAATGTGGTAGTTGCGTTGCTGTCTATGGAGGGTCAGAAAGCTCTTGGATTTCATCAAAAATATCTTAATTTGTGTTCAGAAGATGAACGAAGATCTTATGGGTTTGGAACGACATGAGGGTGAGTAATTAATGACCGAATTTTCATTTTTTGGTGAACTATCCCTTTAAGTCTTCATTCCAGAATATGTAGTGAGAAAACCTTCACTTTGACATATGCTATTACTTCTCTAGGGCTGGGCCATTTTTTATAATTGTATTACATAATTTGAATGTAATGTCTTACCACAATTTTATTTTTTTTAAAAATCAGGGAATCTGAGTTGTGCATAAAATGTTAGAATTCGACAGGTTGACAATACACCAACGATAACAGCTAAGAGAAAAAAAACTCATCTGACTGCCAATGACAATGCACCTGATTAACCAGGCTCTGTGAAGGAACGTAACATAAAACATATCAATAGTGGCTATTCATACAGAATGTGTTATTACTTTGAAAAACATGAGACACAGGCAGTGGAAATGGAAAAGTTGCGAGTTTCAGTGGCGTGAGTTGAGTTGAAACGCTGCAAAAAAAAATGTAGAGTGAATCTCTACATTTTGATTTTTTGATTTACAATTTGCTATTTTTTCTAGTTTTATATTATTTAACAAGGAGAATGTTGTTTGAATCATGTTGTAGTTTCATTTTTAAGTTGACTAATTACATGTTAATACATCAAAATCGTTATCTTGAATCAATCAAACATTTTGAAAAAAGGCCAAGATTTTATTTTTTGCCATATCGCCCAGCTCTAAACAGATTTATTACATAAACCTGGATTATACAAATCTGTCATTTCATAGTTAATCGTGATCTTCAATATGTTGTCATCCACTCAGCTCAGACAGAGATAAACTACTTGGCTTGGAGTTCTGAAACCCAACCACAACAGAAAGACCAAAGAGCATCTGGTTTGGCTGATGCTTACTTCTGAGCAGGGGAGTGAGGAACCACCTCGTGAACATAGATCCCACTGCTGACATCAGGGAAATCAGCATTCTGCTGCCTCAGCTCTTCCACCAGTCTGGAGGAGACAGACAGAACGTCTCACATACACACACACAATGACTAAACAGCACTGCGGTGTTCATTTACATGTGTTGTGTATTAGCGTCTGTAGTGAAGGACACTCACGCTTCTGTGATGGTGAGCATTCGGATTCCAATGAAACGCTTCTTCACTGATCTTGGCTCTGAAACAATATGTAAACGTGTTAACACATTTAATCCTGCAAGAATGACTCTAAAAAATATAAAACATATGTTTAGTATTAGATGATTCATACTCTGACCTCCCTACAAATTCCCTTGCACAAAAGTTGCACCATGTACCTTTGTTCTGCTTTCCTAATGAATCATTTAAGAAGCGAGTAATCCTGTCTGAAGGAATGGCAAAGGAGATTCCTGCAGCTACCTTCAGGGTATTGATTCCTATCACCTCCCCATCCTTATAGAAGACAAAACAAGAAGAAAAATTCAGTATCAGTATGTTTGTCGTTGTATTGTTCCAATGTGTCATTCCAAACCTGTCTTTCCTTCTTTTATGAAACAAAAGGGGAATTTTCGAAAAGCAGACTGAAATGTAATATTCAAATTATATAGAAAAGAGTGGATATTTTTAAAAGTTCACCTTTTGTGTTTCATACAGATTTGTAAAAACATTGGTTGAATTATTCTTGTAAGTCTACTGTCAGAAAACCGAAACATCACAGTGTGAAATAATTACCAAATTAACGAGTGGTCCACCCGAGTTCCCATACTAAGAAAAGAGAAAGAAATCATGTTAATTGTTGGTTCTCAAACTATTTTACACATACATTATCGAGGATTAGATTCATGCCAAAACTACTGAACATAAATATAAACCCAAAACTTAAAATGAAGTAAAAATCTGAGACTTCAAATAAACAGCTTCCACTCTAAAACTTAACAAGAGCAATTTGTCAGAATTGCAAGGGAAATAATAATTAATGTTAATTATCCCTTGTGTGGTCTTCGGTCACTTCTGAGCGGAGAATTTTACATTTTGAATTTTTAAAAATTGTAGCTTCACCAGAATGGTACGAAACTTGGTGACAAAAAAAAATTGAGGTCATGATTCGAAAAAGCTAAGTGGTCGTAAAAAAAATAGTCACACTCATGGTCTTCGGTCAAAAATGACCGACCATAGGAAATGAATGGGAAATGGGGAAAAAAATCGAAAATACAGATTTTTTTGTGTGTGCAATCTACAAATCCCCCACAATGCAGAAAAAAATTGCACAGCAATGAAGGGATGAAACTCTAAAACAGACACACACATACAGAATTATACATACTCAAATGAATTGGTATGGCTAACCATATAACCAAAATGAGTCAGAAGACTGAAATAAGAGGTTAAAATCAGATCAGACCCAGAAGGATTAAGCTCTGATAAAGCATTCCTGTTCATTGTTGTTACAGTTTTATAGAATTTTAATGTTTTGTGTAACAAAATGCTTTCTGTGTTCAGTTTTGAATGTAGTAATTATAATGCAAAAACCTACACTTCAAATCAACATTTAAAACAACAAAAAATATAAACCTTGACAAAAAGTAGTCTTTGAGAATGCCTTAATATACATTTAAATCCACAACCTAATAAAAGTAAAAAATTATGTACAAAAACAACTAGGGAATTCACAAGCCTCTCTATAGAGTCCTATACAGGAATCTAGTGGTTACATCATGAAATTACAGGTTTTTCCTTTTTTTTTTTTTTTGCTCTCACCAGGAGGTGCTATTCTGCCTTCAAACATTGGATTTTAACGGCCTAGTCTCTATTTTAATCTGAAATACTGCATTAATTGAAAAATAATTTTAATACATTTTAAATATTATTTTAAAATATGAATTAGTACCATCAAATTCTCTCAAAATACAAAAGAAAAAATATTATTGAACCAAAATATATTTTTTGAAAAAGATTAATTTTGTCCGTTCATTTCAGGTGTCCGTTCACTTTTGACCGCGAAGACTATGAGTGTGACTCCCAAATGAGGAGCGCCCAAGGGTTATCAATGCTCAAAACAATTTTACAAACCCTATATTAATGGGATTAGATTTGTACCAAAAGTACTGAAAATACATTTTCAAGCACTGAACAAAAACATAAATTCAAAACCAGGGCTGGCATACTAGGCAACACAATTTGGAGCCGATATAAGGGTTTGGTTTTTTTGCCAAGGACTTGCTCATCATGCAGGGACAACGACCCATGGGTTTGTAAAAAAGTTGATAAAGTATCCTCCCCCTTCTTCTCCATCTCTCAAAATGAACTAACCAAAAAGCTCCTGAAAATCTGAAAAAGCTCCGGGATATGAAGCTTAAAAGTTTGGAGGCGGATGCTTCCAAATGTGCAAAGATTATTGACATGTTTACTGCAGTAGTCTCTGCTTCATCAGCAGAGTCAAAGTTTGTGCAGCAGAATAATCAAGTAAAAGAGCAGGTGGTGAGCCAGGAAGAACAGGCTTGTTCAGGAGGAGGAGCAGAACAGGGTTGTTAAATTGTTAAGGAGTAGCCTCATGATAACAGAGACTCACAGGGAGTGAAGAAGGAGGTAACCTATCCTAATGCGTGTGTGCCATAAAGATGATGACTGTTAATTAAATTTCAAGTAATTATTTAGTCAGCACAACAGAAGCTATCTGCTAGCTATTTTGGATAGCTATTGGTTAGTTTCCTCAAACAGTCTTAACTTTGATGGACTATTATAACACATTAACTAGCTAATCTGTCATTGACTAAGCTCACGTTGCCATGAGTGACTTCGTTGATCAAGATTTCATCATGAACATTAGGATATTTGGTTTTGATCCTGTTTATCAAATAAATTAGAATAAAAAGAATACAATAAAAAGGAATAAAAACCAACTGTTTTTGCAACAGAATAGCAAATGAAAACTGTAAATATTAATAATAATGGCAGCAAATATGAAAACTCTAGTAATTCAATAATTATTTATAATAATAAATTCTGATAATCAGACAGGAAGCAACATAACCATTCATAAAATATACGTTTTTGACTTTTTTGTTTTAAAGGGTTTTTTCTTCACGAATAATATATTTTGAATAGTTTTGTTCAATACATGTACATTGCTTCTTGAATGCAATATGACTTCAGAAATGAATTTCAGAGGTTTTCTTATGCAACAGCAGTGAGACTCATAACATGTGTTGTTCTGGTTATTCAGTGTCTTACGTTGATGATGGCGTCAGTCTGGATGTAGTCCATGTCTGAGTCACGGAAACCCAGTTCTTTCCCATCTCTCTGTGCAGTGCTGACTATTCCTGTCGTCACTGTGTTCTGCAGGGCAAACGGGCTGCCGATAGCAACCACAAACTCACCCGGGCGCAGGTCTGCCGAGTGACCCAGCAATAAAACAGGCAACTTTTTCTGCCAAAGGAAGTAGTTGAGTAAACACATTTTGGCTTTTGTATTATAAAGACAGGTCTTAGAGTACAATAAGAAGAGTTCTGTCTTACCTGCGCATTGATTTTGATAGTGGCAATGTCAGACTTCTTGTCGATGTCTTTGATAGTGGCCTCAAACACATCCCCACCACGCATCTGTACTTTGAGTCGCTGATGACCCGAAACAGATGTGGTGCTGGACACCACATGAGCATTAGTCACGATCAGCCCGGTCTCTGACATTACAAAACCTGAACCACTTGACAGCGGAACCGTCCGGCCGAAGAGGGGGTGGCTAGGGGGAAAAAGCCAAAATACAAAGTTCTCATTATTTAGTTATATACAATTGCATTGAACATTTAGAGTGATTCAAAAAATTGAAAACTCTCTCTCTCTCTTTTTTTTTTTTCACTATTGATCTTAAATGTCTTTCTTTTTTTTTGTATACCGTATGTTTGTGGAAAAAAAAATGACACCAGAATCCTTTCAAAAAGACTACTTGGAAATAACATACTGTACATTAGAATATTCTGTACTTTGCAAGTGCAAATGGAATATAAAGTTTTCAGACACTTAACTGCATTATTAACAGCAAATCAATGAAAATGTATAATAGTTTAAGTTTATATGAAATGCAATTAACTGAACTAAGAACACTTTAAAGTTAAGTTAGTAAAACTTGGTTTAGTAGTACATCTTTCTATATAATTTCATGATTTTTTCTATTGCATTTCAAATATGATTCAAGTTTACTACGGTTAACGTTTTAGTTTGAATGTACTGACAAACGTGTTAAACTAAAATATACTTTAATATATTTGTAATAATGAAGTTGCAATTTAGAACATTTAAAATATATTAACTTTAATATTGAAATACACATTGCATCACGTACACTTCACATGTAATCAAGTACGTCATGTGTGTTTTAGTATGTTAGTCAACACATTAAAGTAAGTGCACTTCTTTAAAGCATGAAAAAAGCTTAAAACAATGATTTAAAGGACTTTAGTAATGTAATGTACTTTAAAGTAAATAACTGCAATTGCAGTTTTTTGGTCCCACTTTATATTAAGTGGCCTTAACCACTAGGTACTTACATTTAAATGAATCATTTGAAACAATGCACTTACATACATGTTTTTACATTATACATATATTTTAAAAATACCTGCATCTAATTACATCTGTAATTAATATCTGTAATTTAATTTATAATTACACTGTTGACCCATCCATTACACCTTAAACCTACCCATACCACTAAACCTGTCCCTAAACTTATCCGTATCCCACCTCAGTAGCAGCAAAAGTGTTTTGCAATAAGTGTTTTGTACTTGTTTTTTGAAGTAAGTACATAGTAGTTAAGGCCACCTAATATAAATGGGGACCAGTTTGGTCGATATGTTTTTTTTTTTAATTTGAAGTACACTACCAGTGCACATTCAATGCAACTATGCACACTTTTTTTCCAAAGGGTTTATTGTATTTCAAAACATTAATTCACCACAAATATATATATATATTTTTCTATAAAGACATTTGTTATATATAAAACATTTGTTTACTCAATTTCCCCATGCCACACTCTCTGACATCATTCACAAATGATTAGCCTTGGCAAAAGCAGTTGTGCATGTGTTCAGCTAATTTACAGACAGCAGTGACCCTCACACAGCTGTGTTTGCAAAGCACCTTCCTCACTTCCCCACAGTTTTAAAGCGCCGTACAGACGGCTGCCACACCATGAAAGTGTTTGCAAGTGTTTGGGCTTACTTTAGGAACAGCTCGATGTGCACCACAGCAGGGGCGATCTTCTCCACCACGTCAGCAATGAAGTTGAATTTGTACCTTGGGCTGCTGGGGTGTGTAGGACCTATACTAGCAGAAAGAATTACTCATGTTAATAATTCCAATGTATAAAATGATCAAAACCAGCTCTATGTTTTCTTCTGTATTGCAGCTGCTGTCTATTTATGTCTTTTCTCAAGAGGGCATGATTAGCAAGCATGCAGTGCAGTACTGTCCTGCAGATTCAGATGGTATGCAATGATGATAGTTGGAGAAAGTCTTTTCACACACAGGAAATGTTCCTCTATAATTGGGTCTAATTCTTGGGTCTAATCACTAGGTGGCTTTTATCCTTGTGCATGCTTGACTTGTGCTGGGCATGCAGTATGTGTATGAAAGAGAATGATGAGAGTGTGTAAATTCCTAGTAATTAAGGCATGTTATTTTCTGCAAACATCAGGGTGGTTTTTCCCTTGACTGCTGTTTCCTGTGACCGTGTTGGCACAGCCATCATTCCTTTGTGTGCACACCCTGGTTGTCCTACTAACCTAAAATTTGAAGTCATTAAAGAATCAAGACCCTTTAAAAACTAGTTTAGTACAGTTTATCACTGAAAAAGTACTACACCTAATGGTCATCACTTACATTGTTATTACATTGTGCAAACTCTCTGCATTGATCTCTGGCTCTGTTAATGGTTTTGTTTAACAATTAAAGTTTTGTCTATAATTAAGAGATAGGTTGCAGTCTATTTAGAGGTTAGATGCAAAATGTGCTTAATACAGAAACAATAATGAAAATTACCCAAAATTGTATTAAAGGTTTGGAGTCAGTAATTTTTTTAAACGCTTTTTAAGTCTCTTATGCTCATAAGGCTGCAATTGTTTGAGCAAGAAAAAAAACTTAATATTATGATATTATTATAATTATATATACAAAACATTTCTGTGATGTCAAAGCTGAATTTTCAGCAGGCATTACACATCTTTAGTGTCACGTGAACCTTCAGAAATCATTCTAATATGCTGATTTGGTGCTCAAGAAACATTTCTTATTTTTATCAATGCTAAAAGTTGTGCTGCTTCATATTTTTTGTGGAAACTGTGATCCATTTTTTTCAGGAGTTTTTAATGCATCGAGAGTTTAGCAGAAAAGCATTTATTTGAAATAGTAATCTTTTGTAAAATTATAAATATATTTTTTGTCATATTTGAAAAAAATAAAATAAAATCTTACTGATCCCCAAACTTTTGAATGGTAAAGTGTAAATACATAAGCTTATATAAGTAAATATATAAGCCAAATAACATAAATATATATTCTAATGCTTTATTCATGGCTTTCTGGATGAACATATTTAAGCGTTATAATTTGGAAGCTGTGAGAAACCAAAATAAGCATGCAATGAATTACACTCAACTTTTAATCATGAATCAAATGCAACACCCCATATAAAAGCACATTCCAGTAGAGCTGCATCACGGAGCCGTGACCTCTCAGATTTCACGACTGCCAAGTAAGTCAACTTCCAATGGCAATGTGTGCAAATTCATTTAGACAATCACATACAATATTGAGAAATGCCACTCGACCCAAAGTTGGCCAGGCATAAACCAAAGATGAATGTCCAATAAAAATATGTTCGAAATAGTTTTCGCGTTCATTCTTTCCAGTGAGGAGTGCAGAAGAGACGAGACATCAGAAGAGCAGCTGATCACACAATCTGGTGGAAAGATGATGGGCAACATCTGTTTCTAAGGCACTGGGTTGCTTAATACAGTGATTGCAAAGGTTAAGGTTTTATTTTGAGGTTTTTGACTTAGTAGCTTAAATTGTATAGAATGATAGACTATAATTTATGTGACATTTAATGCTGTAATGATTTGCTGCTCTCCAAATAGCCATGGGCTTTTCTGTGGGTTCTTTTGCTTACAGTTTTGCTGCTTGCCTCACTACCGGGTTATTCACCAAATATATACACCAGTGTGGCCAGTGGCATTGCAGGGGCCGACAGTAACTAATGGGTGGATGATTGCTACCAGACGGACGTCTTTAAACCTGGTTTTGCTGAATCATTTTTTAACAGACCTAAATATTTGACCTAAGAAGCCCATCTCTTGATCTCTTGATCATTTCACCCCATCAATAGCCTTTTAATTCAATTCTAGGTCACCTCACACTGATAACGCGTCTCCAGAGAGGTGGTACCGTTTCCAATAGGTGCCTCCTCCCTTTTCCTGTCACCACTGAAAGAACTTTTTACTGCTGATCTGGAAGCAGTTTGATATTTCCTTTAAAAATGATAAAGGATAGGGTGTTGGTAATGAGGTCTTGTCCAGAATCAGAGCAAAAGGGCAACCTCCACTGAGAACCCCACAGGAAATCATGCCCGGTCTGCAGAGCACAAAGCAGCCCTATTTTCCAAACTTCTCTGCAGCTGTCTTTTGCACGTCAAGTTTGTGAGGTCACAGTCCCATTTTTCAAAATACTCACAATTGCTCTTTTGGTTATCAGTGGAGTTATATGTGATGGTCGCTAGAGGAGCTCAAGGATGTTATCTTCTAAATGCAGTATGACACACAAAGCACAGTGGACTCACAGTGTGTGTGTGTGTGTGTGTGTGTGTTAACTGAACTATACTTTAGGGACAAAATTGTCCCCAGAATTGAGGTAAACTGCACTCACACTATTAGATGAAAACAAAACATGAACTGAACTAAGCTGCATAATAAAACTATTGTCATTTGTAGATCTGCCTATTCATAACTTATGAAAATTCCAACATTGACACAGTTATTGAACTTATTTGAATGAACATTGAACTGGTTTGAGCTGAGTAATGACACTATTTACTATTATACCTGAATTGAATATGTTTTATAATGAACTTTGCAACACTGACACTGTTATTGAACTGACCCGAATCAACAATGAATCAACTTGTCTTGAACTGAACTGCTTTACAGCTGGGTTGAATTCTTTTGATGAACTTGGCATCAACACTGTTATTTTCCTGCTTAATACTGTGACGCTGCTTTGAAACAATCTGAATTGTATAAAGTGCTACATAAATAAATGTGAGTGACTTTACTTGAACTTGACACAACCTCACTCATATTTATTTTGTTTTACACTTACACATTGTTTTATTTATCAATTATATTTTAACAGTTGAGAACTAGCCTTGTGCTCAAGGTCATGACACTACATGGTGTTCACACACTGTTTTACTCAAAAACCTTAGTCTACATGTTAATATGGGACAGCACCTTTTGTGGAATGACCCATAAACATATGGTACGTCCCCATTTAAATTGCTAAGGTTTGGGGTAGGCTTGCCTATTTAAGAGTATTTGGCATTCTAGAAGCTAATGAAGAGATTATAGTCTAATGTCATACATCCCATCCTTCCTTTCCCTCCCATTCAGTGTCTCCATTATTAGGCCATACACTCTAAAAACTGCTGGGTTAAATACAACCCAGTGCTGGGTAAAATAGGGACAAACCCAGCAATTGGGCTGTTTTGACCCAGCGGTTGGGTTAAATGTTTAACCCGACCTTCTGGGTAGTAACCCAACCGCTGGGTCAAAACAACCCAATTGCTGGGTTTGTCCCTATTTTACCCGGCACTGGGTTGTATTTAACCCAGCATTTTTTATCACCAATACAGTAATAGTACACTCTAAAAAATAGTGATAACTTTTGCTACACCACTATGAATAATTAACAACTTAAATAATTGACAAAAAAAAAGATTCTTACACCGTTTAAGGCAGGCCTGTATTAATTTAGGATTTTATAGCACAAACAATACTGTTATAGTAGCCTATTTCTGTTTAAACCTTTTCAATTATTAAAATTTCAGTATAAATGAAGACAGAGATAATTCCTCTTGCTATACACAAATCACTTACCTTGATTGCTTTCACAGGGTCCTTTGTGCAGGTTGGTGATCGCGGGCAGACCCTGCTGCAGCGCTTTCCTGCTCACGGCCTTCAGGCGGCAGATGTTACCGTACGTGTTCCCGTCACTGCCGCACACTTTACTGCTGTACCTGCACTGACACACGCCTTTGGACAGTCTTTTTCCAGACGGGTGCTTGCACTCCAGCCCGTCGCCGCAGGGCAGATCGTCCTTGCGGCCGCACGGCTCTGCCTCTCCCTGTGCGCACACCAGACAGCAGTTACAGCGGTCAGGCACATACCCGCTCGGGCAGCTCGGGCTCGGACACTTACTCACATCACAGCGCTCAGGACACTTCAGTGTAGTGTCCGCGAGAGCAGCTTCGACGCAAATAAAAACGACGGAGACCAACAGAATGACCTGCATTTTTTATTTTTTTTGGTTTAAAATGAAAACGATTTCTCAGACAGTTCTTGGATAGTCAGTGTCCTCTGGAGATCAACATTGCGCATCAGATTCCCAATGCAAAAAGCTTCTTTCAGATGAGATGTGTGCGTTCCTGCAGGATCAGCTGAAAGACCAGTGTGAAATGGTTGTCCCGGGAAGACGAATATTTCTTATCCAAGTCAATCTGATCTACTGATGCGCGTAAATGTCGCTGATTTCCCATGTAACTTATTAAAACAATGTATGTGAAGCCTCTAGATGTTTGGTCCTGTTGTATCTGCTGACCACCTCAACATCCTCGAGTGAAGTCTGCTTTTCTCTTCTCTCTAGAGGAGGCGGGGAATTTCGTTTACCCCAAAACGCTGTAGTATTCTCTAGTGATGGGAAGTTCGACTCATTTCCGCGAATCGGTTATTTCGAACAGTTCGTTTCAGAGAACCGGATCAAAAATCCGAATCAGCCATTCACTCCGCTTTATTTGTAATTAAGGTAGTTGTTGTAATTTCATGTGTTTGGGCTATTTCTGCCTTGATTCGGCTCATAAAACAGCTTTAAAGTACTAAATTGCAACTTCATCATTACAAATGTGCGAATACTAATTTAAATGCATGACATATAGAATATAATTTCAATAGAAATGACATTAAGGTATATTTTAGGTTACCATAAACGCTTGTCAGAACATTCTACAGCATACTTTAACCATATTTCATTATGAAAACAGAAATAATTATGAAATTACTTGTGCTTAAGTGGGACAAAACACTCTTAAATTCAACCAATTGCATTTAATATAAATGTAAAGTGCCCCATGCCATTTTTACAGTTACTAATATTGTTTTGGGAGTCTCCTACAATAGGATTACATGCATGCAAGGTCAAAAAACGCTGGAAATGGCATAATAGGGGCACTTTAAATTATAACACATTTGAATTTAATTGCAATTAACAGTCTGTCCGAGAACATACATTCAGTTCACACTGTAAGTATGCTAAAGTGTACTTCTTTTTCACAAAGGAACCGTAAAGATCTGTCACAAGTAACTATTCTTTCACAAACATTCACACATCATCATATCAGCTTACTCCAGTGCACTATGTCTGCTGATTGTCCCCTATTTTTTCTGGACTGAGTTATAATGAATTGCTTGGACAGTACCAACAGATCTATAGTTAGGATGAAAACCAAAAGAGTAGAACTGTGATTGTAGGATCTTGACAAGGGCTCACTAGTACTCAAGGTTTGCATTGTTATAAATTACCTTGATACATTATATTGTAAGCAATTAAATATTAAATCCACTTTTTATTGGTGACCAGGGGGACACAGTCTCTTTTTAGCACATACATCTGAATGCCGCCAAGGCACTCGACCCTACAGTGCCAGTGGATTTGTTTTCACTGAACTGGGAGGGTTTGGACCAAGTCATGTATTTCACCAGGCATGAACACGTTTATTTAAAACTATAACTCCTGTCATTCTCTGCACTTAGTACAAACAGAACAGCCCTTGTTGAGGTAAAAATGTGTTCACTGACATCACTTGCATGTGTCAAACGAAGGTAATAAGATTTTACAGAATGGAAAACCAGAAACAACAAATTCAAAAATTGTAGACAATTATTTTCCATAAGAAAGAAAGAAAAATAGTATCTGTTTTTTGGTTACTTCCAACATGGGATATTGAGCCAAATGGACAATGCCTGAAAGTTGTATTGCTTACACTCCAGTAAACACTCGCTGGACCAATCAACATGTCTCATGAGTCAGACATTCCGTAAATCAACTAATATACATCACATCCAGCAAATAAAAGTAAACATGGGAAATTCACACACACGCACGCAAGCATGGAAGTTTCATATCCCATTAGAGTCCAGCTCTATCTTGTTGGCCCAGTTATTGTGTTTTTGTACTGGGCTGTGGTCCTGAAGCTGTAGTCTGGTGCCAGGTTGATACGACGAATATGGAGATCATTAGCGAAAGCTCTGGCTCGCTGGTAGAAAAACAACGAGAGTTCACGGTCCATGAGACAGTTGTGATAGATGGTGGCCAACTGAGTGCACAGCCCTAGCTGGGACCTCTTGTTGCCCAGATCCATAGCAGCAGCCAAGGCCAGGTGATAATAGCCAGCAGCATCAAATGGGTCCTTGAATACAGAGGGAGAGAAGATTTACAATATTAGTAGCTATTGTTTTATTAAGAGGTTAAAATAGTAGTCATATTGTTCTATTAAGAGATTAAAATATTACTCCTATTATTCTATTAAGAGATTAAAGTATTACTTGCTATTGAGTTTCGTGCTGTGTTCTTTTCATTTTGAAATATCATGGTTATAGACAATACCAGGACATCACGACACCCCTAATTGACACAATAACAATATTTCTTTTTTTTTTTTCAATATATTGATTATCGTCAATCCCATACCCCTAATGGATAGCTTCCGCACTACATCTTGCAGCAGTGTATGGAACACCGTTAGTCCAAAATTAAAACTCACCAAATGCCAAATGTTAGTAAAACACAAGCAATGGTGATTATATATAAAACAGTGATACTTGGTTGATAACTGGCCGTCGCATGAGTAAAGCACTGCACTGTGTTCATTTAGATGCGAGAAGCTCATGATCCAGTGTTTTCAGTGTCTCAGAACAGCTAAATGCTGCTCCACATCAACTATATATGCTGTGGGTTTGGGTCACTTGTAACATACATTTAAAAAGCTAAATATGACAACCATATGCCCATCTGTAACGAGAATCATTTATCTTTTGTCAACAAAAGATAAACGTTTCCAAATTTTCCACCAAAATAAAAGCTATATAGTTAAACATTTGAAAGCAAAAAACTTAAGCCATACTTGAATATTTATATGAATTATTGAATAGAAATATAACTGTTGTTCTGTAAATTTATTATTATTAAATATGAATTTTTTTATGTTGGAGTACAACAGAATTATTAGTAATATATACAAGTAATATATTTCTTTAGTGATTTGTTCATTTTTTATTTTATTTTAATATATAAACAATAATAAAACAAGAATATTTTGAATAATAATACGTATTTTTAATACTATTATATAGTCATATTGAACAAGGAAAAACAAGTTTTCCTTCTTTTTTTCCTTAGATGATCACATGCCTAGATATAGCATGTGCTCTATATAATTAAATATAAATATATTTTCATTCTGAATATAAATAATCTTTTATTTTGAGGTGTGAATAAATTATAATTTACAGAGTATGTATTTAGACTGCCATCTTCTGGTCAATTTAGAATCTGGAGTTTAATTTTGACTTTCACTTCTCCCAACTTAATTTGTAGAGACAACTATAAGTAAGCTATTCATACACTGATTTCCCATTCTATTGCAGTCTCACATGATTGCTTTCTGCTTGTTTTATCATCACGACTAGCGTGACATTGGCTAAACCAATGGCAGACGTCCACTGGCTTACCTTTACATCATAGAAGACGATGTCTCCAAGTGTTTTGTAAACCCGGACATAGTACAGGGCTTCCTCATCATACTGCAGGGGTGAGGGGCACAGGGACAGGGCTTTCAGAAAGTGGTGCTCTGCCATTTCAAACTGACCCAGACAATGGTACAATGTGGCGAGGCGATGGAATGCCACCCGCTCATTTAAATCATCAGCTGTGAGAAAATACACAGATGAAGGGGAAGACTGTTTTTGGTTGTGTACTGTCATGAACATGAGTTTACCACGTGTGCTTTATTCTCAAAACAGATTAAATATTTGGCAGAAAGCCACAATCTGTGAAGGATCATAAATCAGTATAATACAATGAATAACTTGGATTTAGAAAAGTCACAACAAAAGCCACAGCTCTACATAACAGGGTTTAAGGGGAAAATGTTGCCAGACTGTTATGAATGTACACATTATATTGTACCAATTAAACATACAAAACTGTAGAGTACTTGAATGTGTGCACGTGTTAACCTACCCAGACTCGAGCTAATGTCTAATGCAGTTCGAGCATACTCAATGGCCTCTGAACACTGTCCCAGCTGCAGCAGGAGCTCTGAAAGCTTATTACACAGCCTAAGCTGAGCGCGCACACTGCTCGTCTTCACCGCGATGGGAAGGGCTCGGTCCTTATGAACACAGAGATACAAACGTTCACAGCACACAGACAAACAAACTGAAGGATTATGATTGGGATTAACGTTTTCTAATAAAAAAAATACTGTAATAAAGGAAATAACAGGGACCTGACAGTCACAGAGTGCAATAACAACACAGTGCGAAAGACTTCCCTCTTCGTCAACAACATGTACATGACCTACCCTGTAAAAGCAGATGGCTTTCTCCCTGTCCTGTGAACTGTTGAAGAACACATCTCCAGCTGCCTCCAACATCTCCAGGGTGAAGAGTGTGTCTCCTGTGCTCAAAGCCATGTCCTGGGCTACCTATTACATAGAGAACAGGCCTTTAATTCACCTCTAAAGCAAATGTCCAGCAGCATCATATTTGAAATGCAATTTTGGGATGGCATGCTGTCCCTGGTACTTACCCACAGACCAGACAGACAGACAGACAGACAGACAGACACCCACACACACACACACACACACACACACACACACTTTCTTCTTTTATTTGGATCCACAAGACAAGAAACGAAAACGGAATCCAAATACCTTGGGAAGTCAGTTTGCAAGATGACAGGTACACATGGCTAACATACATTCACAAGTCCTTATATTTATAACATTTAGACAAAACATCTTCGTTTCGGCGTTTCTCCAGAGAAAATGAAGTTATGCCTATCCTCAAAGTGTTTCGAATCCAAGGTCTTTCCTACCGGTCTGTAGGGCGTCTTTAAACACGCTCTTTATAGTTGTTATAAGGCACATTGTAAAAAGTAGTAGCCTTAAAGGAACACTCCACTATTTTTGAAAATAGGCTCATTTTCCAACTCCCCTAGAGTTAAACAGTTGAGTTTTACCGTTTTGTAGCTTAGCATACAGTACATGATGTAACTACAGAAGAGTCGAGTTTTAAATAGGAAAAATATAGAAACTCTTTGGTCATTTTTGAGCGAGATGCTAACGGTCTAATCAGATTCAATGATCTATGCTAAGCTACAGCTAAAAGTGCTACCGCCAGACCCAGAGATCGGCTGAATGGATTCGAAAACGGTAAAACTCAACTTTTTAACTCTAGGGGAGTTGGAAAATGAGCCTATTTTCAAAAATAGTGGGGTGTTCCTTTAAGTCAGCCATATCAAAATGCACTCACTTCCCTGCATTAGCGCTGGCAGTTACAA